ACTCCTTCCGGATTCCATTCATAAACTGTGGGAAGCTACAATTGACCTCTGAAATTTAAAAAAATCAGAAGGAAATTGATATTTTATTGTTAATTGTTGGTCTGAACTGCCATAATAGAAAGATCTATGACCCCAAACCTACTCTGCCCTTGGCAAAGATGGGGAAGATTTTCAATGTGGAATTATTGCTTTTCTTCCCCCAAACATTTAAAATTCTCTGACTTTCATTTCTTAATGTAAAGTAAGAGCAAACGGACTGGACTGTGTATCCATTTTCTATTATTAACAGCTCTGGAACTGGACGGTTGTGGAAAGATTAGGAGTTAGGACAACCACGTTCTGGCCCTGCAGCCACCGGCCCACACCATGAGGAATCGGAGCACCTTGTTAACTGTCTAGCTTCACAACAAACACTGGTGTTTGTGCTCTTGATTAAATGCATGCTTCTAGCCCATTTCTACACATAGGACAAAGAAGTTGATAAACCATGATTCTGAATTTAAGATATCATCTTTTTGCTTCCTTTACTTTATCTCATTTAACTCATCCTTTGTTTTGTTTTCTTTTTCTGCCCAGCCATCAATTCCTCTTTCAACTTCAAGCAAATCCTTTTTTTTTTCAGTTGTAATAGTCTCAAAATTAGTCTAAAATCGGTTTTCCCTTGATATAAACCCATAAAATAAAGTGGTATTTCTTGAAGTGTGGTCTGTGGTGTTCCTACATCAGAAACTCTGACGAGTTTGTGAAAGATAGACTTCTGACCCCACTTCAAAACGGAATCCGGGTCAGAATCGGAGTCCATGAAACGCAGCTTGAGAACCTGTCTTTTTAGCAACGTTCCTGGCCGATGTTGCTAATGCTAAGGATGGAAGAAACCTGCAATAGAGCAGGCTTGAAGACAATCGTCTATACAAAATGAATTTTATATAAATGAAAAGAAAGCAGCTGCCAAGAGAATAGAATACTGCCCTTTCATTTTCAGGAGAAGGATCTTCCCAGAGTGTCAACTTATGCAATTAATCTTTGAAATATTTCCTGGCCCTTCCTACCTCGTTATGTGATGAGAGCAAAGAGGAAGGAACTTTCAGCCGGAGGCAGAGGCACAAGGACTCTGTATTTCGTGCAGTCTATTCTTGCCGATAAGTGCAGGAGAGTCGCTTACCCCCACTGTGGTGGGCCCCATTTTCTCTACCTCTAAAATGAGAAGGCTACAAGGATGAGAAAGATTCTGAGACTGAGGACAGGGAGGGTTCTACGCTCCTGCAACCCGAGCTGCTCCTTAACCTTTGAATCACAGGCACGTCTGAAGTCCTTCCTGCGTCATCCCTGCCCTTAGTATAGTATTTCTAAAAACAAAGAATAGACGCAAAAAGAAACAAAAGGCAAAATCACTTAACTTATAGTTTTTCAAAGTCAAAAGAACCACATTTAAAAAGAGTATACAGTGCAGTGTTTCAAAGCAGCAGCTGTGCTGGGGTCCAGCTCGTACCACTGCTCACAGGCTGTGTGACGTGGACTAGGTACTGGATCTCTCTGAGCTTAATTTGCTCCTCTGTAAGATAGAAAGAATGATCCCACCTCATCAGATTCTTCTGGAGACTAACACACAAAACAATTTTGTAAAGACTTCAGAACCCATCCTAGTCATAGAATATTATTTTAATTCCTCATTTTGTAGCTTTTAGAACATTGACAAGAAGGATTTTAAAATCAGGTGGTGTTTTTGCAAACATAGACTGGAATAAAGGAAATAATTTGGCCAGGCATGGTGGCTTATGCCTGTAATCCCAGAACTTTGGGAGGACAAGGCAGGAGGATCACTTGGGGCCAGGAGTTAGAGACCAGCCTGAGCAAGAGGGAGACCCCATCTCTGCAAAAAATAGAAAAATTAGCTGGACATGATGGTGTGTGCCTCTAGTCTCAGCTACTTGGGAGGCTGAGGAAGGAGGATCACTTGAGCCCAGGAGTTTGAGGTCACAGTGAGCAATGATGACATCACTGCACTCTAGCCCAGGAAACAGAACAAGACCCTATCTCAAAAACAAACAAACCCACAAAAAACAAACAATAAAAGGAAATAATTCTTGGGGACTTGTTCCAAGGAACAGGTAAAATAAATGCTTTTCCCTTTGGTTTTTGAGGATGGTAATGAGGCCTCATACCATTCCAGGAATTAATTGCTGGATCTCTTTGCTCATGTGTGGTGGACGAGACACTGCCTCGCTTCAAGCTTCAGTATTCCTCACAACAAAGACTGCTTCCAGTCCCTTATTTACCTTCTAACGGTATTTGTGAGGACTACCTGTGATGCTCGGAGGTCCTTTAAAGCTATTAGTTAAAAGCCAGTAAAGCATTTGAAATTGGTGTCTGATGTCTATTGTGTTACTAGAAATTCCATCTATTCTTCCCACTTATTCTGTGGAGTTGAGGATCCTTAGGCAGCCCTCCTTTCTGCCTTTTGTCCTGCTTTCTCCTCCCCTACTGATACTCAATTCGCTACCCTCTGGGCCCTATTCAGTCACCATCTTTTGAACAACTCTCAGCCTTATTGGCCTCATGCATCCGTTTTCCACAGAAACTCAGCAAGGATAAGCAATACCAAGAAATGAGACACCTTTGCAGTAATGATCAAGTTGGCTCCAGGTTCCCCGGTCTGTACAGAAAATAAAGGCCCTTCCCACCAACAGGTAGCCACGGTCACAAGCGTAGCCGACTATCATCCCGGGAAGATACGGAGATGCACGTTGTCCAATGAGACGCCCGTTCTGGATCTTGGGTGGCTGCGGGCATGCTAAGAACAAGTTCCCACACAAACACAAGGAAAGACAGTAAGTTAAACATAGAAGTACAAACACGCCAACTCATCTAATAAAATCTCGGGCTGTTAGAGGCGGATGAAGACCTGAGTCAGGTAGGTCATAAGCCACTAAGTGTCAGCTGATCGGTGGAAGACTGATTCTTTAAACCTGGACCTCTTAGCATTTCAACACCATCCTCTGTATTCTCTACCTGAAAACTGTACCTGATGGATATACCACAGGGATCTATCAGCTACTAACTCAATGCTCTTCTGTCCTGACCGGAGGATGACGCTTGTGTGGGCAATCACAGCCACAAATGAGCCTACGACTGTCAGGTACTGTCATTTAAAGCCAGACTGATATGTAGAAGGAATGAGCTACAGAGGGGAAAAGCACAAACCCCACTTCTGCATGGTATCCTGAGTGCTCTTGGTTAGTGGGGAGGCGAAGGGGCAGCCGAATGCAGTCAGCGGCTCGAACAAAACACTTGCAAGTAACATAAAGAGTATAAATACCTACATCCGGGTTTCTTTAATTACTTTTATACGAGCATTATCAATTCTGAAATATTAATAAATTATGCCATCGGCATGTGCTTTTTGCCAGCACACCCATCTAGCTAGTCTAAAGACCGCTAGGAGCAGAGATGGCATGAAAGAGTCTTCTCTTTGGTATTTGTTTTCAGTGCTTTGAAAATATTCTCTACAAAATCTGACCTCAGTGATTCTCTCCACGCTCCACCCCGTCCTCTCCTTAACCACCCCACACTCCGCAGCCCACGGGAAGGGCCATGAGAATGCCACCAATTGGGACACAGCATGGCACATCCAGAACCCATCTGTCATTCACGTGAGAGGTAGTTCTGTCTCTGACATTCGTAGCAAAGCCATGTTCACAAGCAAAACTGATTGTCACTGTAAAATATGGAGGTTCTTCTCTTGACTGTCTGACCCCATTTAGGATATGTGGAAGCGGGTACTGACCGGCAGGAACAGAAAGCTCACAGCGAGGGGCGGGGCTGCTCCAAATCCCATTCCCTCGACTGTCACTTGTGCAGCGGATGGTGCTTGCCCCGATGAGGTCGAAGGTCACCCCTGTGTCCGGGTGGGGGTCACACGTGTAGGATATTTCTTCTCCATAGGGAATATCTCCCAAAGGAGTGCCTGTGTGTCTCCCATGAAGGATAGCCGGAGGATTTGGACAAAAGATTTCTAGAAAGAAGACAAACACTTTAAGTTCTATCAGCATTTCAGTGAAGATGACTACAAAATAGTGGTGCCCTGCATGCTATGAATAAATATTTTTCTTTTAGAAAGAGCATAACTAAGGTGGATGGAATTTAAATATGTAAGGTTTTTTTTTTGGAGAAGGAATTAACTGAGGTGAGACCTAAATTACAGTTTATTGCAAAAGCTCAAAATACAGCACTCCTGAAGCATCCAGGTAGCCAAGTTTATAATGAATTTGGAAAGTAATTAATTTTTTTTAAACAACCATTTGTTTGTCTACTTTACATCAGGCATAGTAAGAGTCCTGGGTTGACAATGGGGTTCAAGAAAGACAAGGTTTCAGCCCTCAGAGACCTTAAGTTCCAAGGAAATCTTTGTGAAGTTTATTAAATATACGCTACCATCCTTAGCAGATGTAAATGTTTCTTGGTGATTCAAGACCATTATCATCAGTATCAATACCAAATAGCCCAAAGTGTCATCAAAGTACATCGGTAACTAGTGGGATCTTTAGACCCAGATCAAATGGCTTCAGAGAGCCTTTTCTTTTTTCTTTCTTTTCTTTTTTCTTTCTTCCAAACAACCAGCTGTCATTTCTCCCTGCTTTGGTGTATCTGCTTGGAGTAGTTCCCTCCCTAAAACTAATCTGATGCTTCTAATAGGGTGTGAATTTAGGAATAGACACCCAAGTTGATATCACAATTATGTATATAAACCAAGTAAGAGCCTTAGCACATCAAACAATGATTGAGTTCTCATGCCTGAATTTTGCCTGTTTGTGTTTATCCAAAGTTTACTTACATATTTATTTTCAGCTTTATGTGTCTCTGGAAGGTTGGCTTTGTCAGATACCTGAGTTTTCCTATGTATTAAATGTTCTTATAAAGTTTCATCATTATACACAC